GTTTTGTGTCAATTTACTTGGTCTTCAGCTGTTTTATTGGTAGGATGTTGTAGAGGTGGATGTCACTCATTTGGTTTTCACAGTCACTTGCTGCATCTGGTAGCCTGGAATTACGTTTGCTTAAATTTACTTTTCTATTGCCTTATAAGTTGTGTTCATCACTGTGAAGTTCCTTCTCTTATCCTTAAATCATTCCTTAGTTCATATCTATGATTTTCATTTATTCATAGTCATTTACAAACCAAAGTGTTAGGCAACCAGCGTACTACTTTAAACATAGGAACACTTAGATGCTGAGATCCAAATCCCTGAACAATTGCTTTGATTCTCTGGCTTAATATATAAAATACACAAGAAACTATAATGTAAGTGTCAAAAAGGTGTTGTAAACTGTCCATAGCATCTTAGTGATTTTGTTATCGTATTGCAATGGTGTAAGGCTAACAAAAAATTGTAGAATCTTCAATAATGTCATTGTCATTCCATGAAACATCAAACCTAAACTTAAAAATGAGCTTATTGAAGTGAATTTATAAGTGCAAAGGTTGGTGCAGGCGAGTTGGTACCAGGACAGGGCTGGATACTAATGGTAGCCCACTAGCCACAGACTACAGTAGAAATTCAGTTTGAAAAGTGGTTTTTGATTTCCACTTGCCAGTTTGGCAGTAAACAAACTGAAATTATGAAAACATCTAAGATGTCACTAGTCACTTGGCTAGTAAGTTGAAAAGTTAGTGTCAAAGATGCAAGCCCTGCCAGGGAGAAATGGTTGGATACCATAGACCTACCCACCCCTTAAATCTAGAATGATTAAAAAGAAAATTTTCAATGACCTATTCTCAGAAGTATAGACCTACCTCCTGATGCATTTTGGTCTCTTTTCTGTTGGTAGTAATCCAAGCAGTCTTCGTGGAAAGATCAATCCTTCCCATGGGAAGCTATTCTCAGACAAATATTTTGACATTCTTAAGAAGAGAATCGAGCTACCAGTATGGGAATACAGAGAAAAATTCAAGGAAACCATGAAGGAAGAACAAGCTTTTGTTCTTGTTGGAGAGACTGGATCTGGTAAAACAACCCAGGTAATAGTTACATGTAGTATTTGTTTGCTTTGACAAAGGGCAAACACTTGAAACCCTTTATGGTGAGCATTTTACATTATCAACCAATCTAATAACACTAAATTATCTTGGTAGTTTATTAGAAGTTGGGTTAAATTGCCACTTGATCAGATGAGCTCTGATTGGGGAAATTCCTGGAATTAGAGACTGTAAATATTTGGAAGAATTCGGGCTTCAGTTGGGCGTAACGGATGCCTCCTACATGTAGATGCTAGTTACTGTTGGTACAAATTCCAGTTGAGCTACTGTTTGAAGCTAATTGATGGAAGTGAACTAATTAGCATCAAGCCTAGGTCTGTATATAATCTTAGATCAAATCAAAGTTTATTACTTGACCCTCCTAAGGGGAAAATGCTTGCCACGTTAGGGGACAGATCATTCTCTGCTGCTGCCCCGTACTTATAGAATGCCCTGCCAGCTGAATTACGTGATATTCAATCATTTTCCATTTTTAAATGTAAGCTGAAAACTTACTTATTTATTTCGTGCAGCTTTCTCAAAGTACCCTGTCTGACAATATTACTTTTATTAGTATTACTAATTCAGTTCCTTATTAAGATCCTTATTCCTAATTAAGATCCTTATTATGTATATTCTTTATTATTCTTATTTTTAACATATGTTGTTAATATTAATGTACATGTAATAAGTTTTATAAATTTGAATTTACTGTAGTATTCTAAGTTGTCAAGCGCTGTTGATCATTGAATGAAAATAGTGCTGTAGAAGTTATTAAATTAATTAAAATTAATTAATTAATTACATTTTAACAGATTTTTATTCCTTGTTCCTTTTAAATATAGTAGGGTCTCAACTGTTGTTAGTTGTAAACTAAATGTTTACCATGCATACAAACAAAGTAAGTCTGTTCAGATTTTTGGATTGAAGAGCACCCAATCACCATTTCCTCTCAGGCAAATTTGTGTGTTTTTCTTTTTTTTTTTTTATTCTATACAGTTCCACTCTCTCTTTGCAGGGCTCAGCACTAACTTTTCAACTTCCTAGCCAAGTGGCTGGTGACATCTTAGATGTTACGACAATGTCAGTTCGTTTACTAGCCAAACTGGCTAGTGGAAACCGAAAACCACCACCCAAAACTGAATTTCTACTAGTCTGTGGCTAGTGGGCTACCATTAGTGTCCAGCCCTGCCTTGGCAGTGTAACAGACACTTTATTTTAATACTATGAAATGGTAATCATTAGGATCAACTTGTTTCTCACGATTACAGGCAGATAATACACCCAAGACTAAGTATTCCTAGGCTGTGTATTGTCTTGTATGTTGCATTGTTTTGCATTACTGTAAGTGCAGTTTGTAGTGA